GTCCGCCCGCCCCTCTCCGCCCCTCTCCGACCCCCGCGGCGGCCGCGGCCCCCCGCTCACGCGTGAAGTGGTTCAGACAGGCCGCGTCCACGATCTTGGCCCGAAACTTCATGACGGGACGCGGGCCCGCACCGCGCGTGGGTTGGCGGCGACCCGGGTCTCCTCCTGAGCGTCCCGCCGGAAACGCCGCCGCGCGCGTATTGGTTCCGCCGCCCGGCCCGCCCCGGGGGAGGCGGGGACCCCAGGGTCACGCCCCCGGGGAGGCGGGGTTTGGGGGTCAGGTCTGCGGGAGAGGCGGGTCCAGGGTCACACTCGGGGTCACATCCCCGGGGGAGGCGGGTCCCGGGTCCCACTCCGGGTCACACCTCCTTGAAGGCGGGGATCCAGGGTCACACCCCGGGGGAGGCGGGTCCCGGGTCACACACTCCGGGTCACATCCCTGGGAAGGCGAGGTCCGGGATCGCGTCCTCGGGTGAGGTCGGGTTTCGGGTCACATCCACAGAGGTCGGGGTCCAGGGCCATGACCGCGGGGGAGGGGGCGTGCCGGGGTCACGTTCCCGTCACCTCCGGGGTGAAGGGGGTCTGTGGTCAGTCCCCGGGCGGGCTGGTCTCGGGTCATGCCCCGGCGGGACCAGCCTCTCCTCCTAGTGACTCCGCAATCCTCAACCCCCCAGGAATGAGAAGTGTTCTGAGGATTCACATTTTGAAAGACCTTTCTGACACCTCTTCCCGATTGCTATAAGACATTAAAAATAAAATCAATCGTTTATTTATAAAGGATTAAATAAAATCATCACTTAAATATATACCTCCCTGACCTAGGGCAGCCTTAGAACCCCCTGCTAGCTCTGATGACAGCACCTTGGTGAATTACGGTTTTGCATTTAAAGTTTTAAATTGTGATCGTTAACCCTTAAAAATGAAAGTCCGCTTTTTTTACCAACAAAAAACAAGGGTTTATTCACTGGAATAGCAGAAAGGAGAGGAATGCTATTTTATGGAGAAGAAAGAGGAAATTGGGAGGAGTTGTTGTGAATGACCGTCTATCAGAGGAAAGCAGGATAAGCAAATGAGAGGAAAGCAAATAAGAACCTACAAACTTGTTTTAACTTGACATGTAGAATCAAGATGTGAAAAATAATGCAAAGTATTTGAAATGTGTAAAATACAAAAATTACAAACAATTCTGCCTATTTTAAGACTATAACATGAAGCTCAATTCCAGTCTACATTGTAATATAGAAGTGTTTACCAAACCCAATGTGATATAATGTCACTTTTAATTTTTTTGTGAACAAAACATGCTTTTTTTATTATGGCATAAATTAATTTTAAAATAGATAAGTTATTACATGAGGTGGTTGCTGTGGAGATCACAGAAATATAAAGAATGTATCTAAATAAGCTTTGTAAGCAATGTTTCATAGAATACTGATTTTCATTTTTATTTTTTTAAAGGTTTTATTTTTAAGCTATCTTTACATCCAACGTGGCTCGAACTCACGACCCTAAGATCAAGAGTCACACGCTCCACCGACTGAGCCAGGCAGGAGCCCCTGATCTTTACTTTAAATGACTTAATTTTACGCCATAAAAAATAAAACAATTTTTTAAACTTGCTAAGAAGACTTCCATGATAATGCATTCTGCATAGACAAAGACCCAAATAATCTAGGGAATTGTGACCCAACGGTTATAAAATTAAGCTGTAATGATCTTTTCCAGAAAGAAAAAAGGGATCCTACATAAGAAGTCTTGCAGTTTCCTTAAACTAAATAGGTTTAGCAAACTAATAATTTCAGTTCTGATAATCAAATATACTGACACTACTTCCCTCCATTTTTTCCGAATGATTGTGAAGTAAGGAACAAGACCACCAGAGATCTCTAGAAACCCGTGTGGGCTACTGAGTTTTCTCATTCATGTTGCTATCAGTCCGGCTGGTAAACAGCTTCCCGATGTAAAAAAAGCCGCACCTCAGGGGTTAGTAAATCAGACAGAGGATGATCTGGGGAACAGTGTTGATGTTGTTCATTATGTTTGTGTCCTGTGCGGGGAAATGCCCTAATTTTGTCCTCAAATGTTAATACAACCAGAGGGTAGCTGTTGCCCAAAGCTCCGTGTGCCCAGTGTGGGTCAGGTGCTTGCTGTCTTCTCCAGTCCCTGCGGGGAGGACTGTTTGCAGTCCCAGTGTTACCAGTTAGTGTCGGAAATCTTACTCCAGGGGAAAGAGACTGGCACGGCTCAGAGCTTCTGCATCAGATGTGACAGGCAATATTTATCTTTTCTTTTTCTTTTACATGAAAACACATAAAATGAAGGAAAGCATACTGTAGACGTGGCTTGAGGGCATGTCTTTTGAGAATTGTGCCGGGTTAAGGGATGGTTTTGCTTAAATGGCTTTTCAAGTCTGCTCATCTTTTAGATGCTGAAGGAAAAATACTTCCATAAATTTCATAAACATTTTTAGAATTAACGTTTATGGAGCCCGTGACAACTGTTATGCACAGTGCTCGGGGTTGGGGTGCTTTCTTTTGTAAGATTTTATTTATTTGTCAGAGAGAGAGCACAAGCAGGGGGGAGTGGGAGAGGAGAAGCAGGCCTCCCGCTGAGCAGGGAGCCCGATGTGGGGCTTGATCCCAGGACTCTGAGATCATGACCTGAGCTGAAGGCAGACGTTTCACTGACTGAGCCCCCCAGGTGCCCCAGGGTTTGGGTTCTGAGGAAGGGGACAGCCACTACTCAGGACAAGGGAGACCAGCATTTGTCGGCTGTCTCCTGTCTTTCATATACAAGGTACTGTCGAAATACAATCCATACGGGAGGAGTTAGAGAACCATCACTTTGATGACAAACCCCAGAAGGCAGTTGCTATTACCCCCAGTTGAAAGATGGGGGACTGCGGAGAATGAGCAATGTGCGCCATGGCATCAGGGTAGATGGGTAGGTGGGGTGGCTTCCTGGCCGGTTTCCTGGGCTGGTTGCTGCAGGTTGAGGGTCAGACTTCTGCCCCACGTGTGAGTTCTGGCCACTGTCTGTGTGTGCATCCACCCTCTCGTGATGTTGCCAGCATTAACTAACAGAGGGGGCTCTGCCGTCTTGGAGTCTTCTTTCAGGACCTGGGACCAGGATCCCGAGAAACTCTGTCAGAAAATGGGCAGTGTCTCAGTCACACGGATGTGTAAGAAACTCCCCCCAAACTGGTGGCTGTGGTGTCTTCATGAGTCTGGCCTCTTCTGCTTGCACCTGGGCATCCCTGTGAGGGATGGAGACTCTGCTTAGTGTCAGAATGGAGTTGAATCGTAGGCGCCCAGCTGGTGTCATCGAATTGCTTGGAGTTGGGGGAAACATAGCCCACATCTGGTGTCACAAGTCTTGTGAGTGTGGTCGTCATGTGAGAGTAAAGGAGAAACACACAGAAATGAGTTTTTCCTTTACAACCATCATGGCGGGGGGCGCCTGGGTGGCTCAATCTGGGAAGCGTCCGACTCTTGATTTCAGCTCAGGTCATGATCTCAGAGTGGTGAGATCGAGCCCTGTGTCGGGCTCCGTGCTGAGAGTGGACTCTGTTTGGGATGCTCTCTCTCCCTCCGCCTCTGCCCCTCCCCCTGCTTGTGTGCTCTCTCTGATTCTTTAAAAAAAAAGAAAAAAAATACAACCATCATGTAACAAAGCACGAGACTATGTCATAAAGATTTGATGTCTGAATAGGTAATATTTTCCCATGGTTTGGAAACAAAATATTGGGGGCACCTGGCGGGCTCAGTCGTTAAGCGTCTGCCTTCGGCTCGGGTCATGATCCTGGGGTCCTGGGGTCAAGCCCCGCATCGGGCTCCCTGCTCAGCGGGAGGCCTGCTTCTCCCTCTCCCACTCCCCCTGCTTGTGTTCTCTCTGTCACTGTGTCTCTCTCTGTCAAATAAATAAATAAAATCTTAAAAAAAAAAAATATTGTATAGTAGATGGGGAGCAGCAAGGTCCCCATCTATGTGGGAATCCTCCTGGTAAACACTACTGATGAGGCGCCTGGGTGGCTCAGTTGGTTGAGCGACTGCCTTCGGCTCGGGTCGTGATCCTGGAGTCCCGGGATCGAGTTCCGCATCGGGCTCCTTGCTCGGCGAGGAGTCTGCTTCTCCCTCTGACCCTCCCCCTGTCATGCTCTCTCTCTCATTCTCTCTCTCAAATAAATAAATAAAATCTTTAAAAATAAGCACTGCTGATGAATACCTTTATATGTACATATATATGTATATTTTTTGTACATGACAATGTGTTGAGTCAGAGGGTATATTCATCTCTCATGTTGATAGATATTGTCAAGTTCTGTCCGGAATGGCTGTGCCTGTTCACATTTTCACCAGCAACGTGTGGGAGCCTGTTTTTCTAAGCCTTTCCCATAAAATATTACCAAACTTTTGAATTTTTCTAATTTCACTGCTGAGACATGGTATCCCTGGGTCACTTTTGCCATTTCTTTTCAAACAAACAAGTTCGAATACCTTTTCATGTGTTTCTGTGAGCCCTCGGTTCACACTTTTGGGCCATTTTCCTGTGGTTCTTGATATTATTATTGCCTTGTTGAGACTCTTGACATATTGGAAAGTTACTCTTTATGATGTCAATGGCAAACCTTTGTTTTTCTATTTTAAGCTTTTGTCAGCCACGCTGTCTTTTTGTTCTAATGTACTAGGATATATATCTTCTCTTTTGTGGATTCTGCAGCTTGAATCATATTTAGAAAGTCTTCCTCTATCCAATGCCACACAGGAATTACCGCAAGTTTTCTTGTTATATCTTTATGGTTTAATTACACCCGTAAATCTTTTACCATGTTGGGAGTTCATCACGTTGTGAAGTGAGGAATACGGATGCAACTCTGTTTTCCTAATGAGCAGATAATTACCCCAAGCCGGTCCTGCTCCCCCATCCCCTTGAGATGGCCCCTTATTGTATACACTACGTTCCCCATAGATAGAGATCTATTTCTGACACAGCAGAAAGACTTTTGTGTCCGTTCCATTGGTCTGTCAATGTTCTAAGACCCCACAGTTAATTAGTGTTTATACCTCTTTCCTTGATGACTCTGGGATACCAGTCCCAGTCCGTGGGGTTTTCCTCTTCCACACAAGAAATTGTCCAACACCAGCTGGGTGTCCTATAATGCAACTCAAGTCGGACATGGTCTCCCTGGAGATGGCATCAGGCCCCACATA